GAAGCATTTGGGTCATCTGCTGCTGCTTTTCCAGGCAGAGAGCTGCATAGGAAGTGGGGCAGCTGGGACTCAAAGCAACACCGATATGGGATGCCGGCATTACGCGGCCACTTAACCTGCTGTGACACAGCATCGGCTCCAGGATTAACATCTTGACCTGGCGAATTGCTCCATGTGGTCTTACCTCTCAGCACGGAGCATGTTCGAGTTGGCCCCTCTCAAGTTGGCAAGAAGAAAGCAAGAACAGGTGACAGAGCCCACGGACAGGGAGAGCCAACACTTTCAGCGTTCAGAATAAACTCTTGGGCCACAAGGGCTGCTCCCGCAGAAACCCAGACAGAACCCACCTTGCCTCTCCCTGCATCATAACTGACACGGTGAGCCCACTCCTGGGCCTGCAGGGCGCCAAAGCTTGTCCCACTGCTGCCATGAAGCTTCGCCTTCCTTAGGACTCCTTTTTTTTTTTTTTTTTTTGACAGGCAGAGTGGACAGTGAGAGAGAGAGACAGAGAGAAAGGTCTTCCTTTTGCCATTGGTTCACCCTCCAATGGCCGCCACGGCCGGTGCACCGCGCTGATCTGAAGGCAGGAGCCAGGTGCTTCTGGTCTCCCATGGGGTGCAGGGCCCAAGGACTTGGGCCATCCTCCACTGCACTCCCTGGCCATAGCAGAGAGCTGGCCTGGAAGAGGGGCAACCGGGACAGAATCCGGTGCCCTGATCGGGACTAGGTGGAGGATTAGCCTAGTGAGCCGCGGCGCCGGCCAGGACTCCTTTGATTTCTCACTGCTGACAAAAAGGATCTTCACAAAGGCTTCTGCCTGGTCCCTGTGCCCTTTCCATGCAGCTTCCTGGAGACCCGGGGAGTTAGGTTTTCAGTCAGAGAACAGTGAGCCAAGGAGAAGGGACTTTATCTCATGGGTCCCCCCCCCCACCCCCACCCCCACTCCGGTCCAAGGGGAAAAACGCACTGAGGGCAGGGTGCCCCAAATGCTGCTGCTCAGACACAGATCTGAAATGAACACGGGGTCTCATTACAATGCAGGTTCTGATTTAGTGTGCAGGCCTACATTCTGCATTTCTACCAAGTTCCTAAGGGATGCCCAGGGTGCCGGTCCACAGACCAAAGCATGTAAATAGCAGGGGGCATGGGGAACACACAGAGGGGGACGCACGGCTCAGGAGGGGTTAGAACAAGCCTCAGGGAGGAGGTCTGAGCCAGGCTGTTATCACCTGCCTTCAGGGTTTCCTAACAGGGCTCTCCAGCTGCATGGAGGGCTCTGTCCTCCCCTTTTTCTGCAGTTTGCAGAGACCTGGTGCACACAGCTCCCTAGGCCTAGCCAGAGACCTTCTCTCTCCTTATGCACTTCTCTTAGGGAAGGGAGCTCTCCCTGGGCTAGCTCCTGCCCCTGGCTCTGGCATAGTGCTGCTGTGAAATACAAGCTCCCAGGATGGCCCCAGGGGCAACAGATGGACTCTCTCCCTCACTCCAGGCTCTGCTCCCTTAAGCCAGGGGTGACCGCAGCTCTGAGTGTCTGCTATGTGAAGTGAATCACACCTGATGTATCTGATCCTCACAATTACCCGGAAGTTTAAGCCTCTGCTTGCGATGCCAGCATCCCACATCTATGTGCCAATTCCAATTCCAGCTGCTCTGCTTCTGATCCAGCTCTTTGCTCATGTGTCTGGGAAGCAGCAGACGACGGCCAAAGTACTTGGGCCTCCTGCCACGTACACGGGAAACCTGGATGGAGTTCCAGGTTCCTGGCTTCAGCATGGACCAGCCCTAGCTGTCGCAGCAATTTGGGGGGTGAATCTGCAGATGAAAGCTCTCACTCTGCCTTCGGAATAAACAAATAAATCTTAAAGAACAAAAAAACAAACAAAAACCACCCAGGAGACTGTGGTGAACTGAAGAAACTTGCTCAGCTAAAGCTTTCACTTCCTTGTTCCTGCTGGTTGCAGCCATTCAGTAACCAGACTTATTTTTCAAGAACAGTAAAAAAGTAAAGATTGTGTGTCTCATTTCTAAAAAAAGATGTGTTTGGCCGGCGCCGTGGCTCAATAGGCTAATCCTCCACCTTGCGGCGCCGGCACACCGGGTTCTAGTCCCGGTCGGGGCGCCGGATTCTGTCCCGGTTGCCCCTCTTCCAGGCCAGCTCTCTGCTATGGCCAGGGAGTGCAGTGGAGGATGGCCCAGGTGCTTGGGCCCTGCACCCCATGGGAGACCAGGAAAAGCACCTGGATCCTGGCTCCTGCCATCGGATCAGCGCGGTGCGCCGGCTGCAGCGGCGGCCATTGGAGGGTGAACCAACGGCAAAGGAAGACCTTTCTCTCTCTGTCTCTCTCTCTCACTGTCCACTCTGCCTGTCAAAAAAAAAAAAAAAAAAAGATGTGTTTGTTTATTTGAAAGGCAGAGCAACAGTGAGAGGGAAAGAGATCTTGCATCTGCTGGTTCACTCCCCAAATGATGGCCTAAGTACTTGGGCCTCTGCCACTCACATGGGGGACCTGGCTGTTGCAGCCATTTGAGGAGTGAACCAGCAGAGATCTCTCTCTGGGGCCAACACGATGGTGTGGTAGATTAAATCACTGCCTGTGCTGATTCAGTTCCCTGCTAACATGCCTGGGACAGCAGCAGAAGATGGCCCAAGTGTTTGGGAACCTGCTACCCACCTGGGAGAACCGGAAGCAGCTCTAGGCTCATGGCTGTGGCCTAGCACAACCCTGGCTGCTGCAGCCATTGGGGAATGAACCGGCAGATGGAATCTCTCTCTCTGTGACTCTGCCTTTCAAATACATAAATCTTTTTTTTTTTTTTAAAGATTTATTTATTTATTTGAAAGTCAAAATTACAGAGGAAAGGCAGAGAGACAGATAAGTCTCCCATTTGCTGGTTCACTCCCCAACTGGCCACAACCGCCGGAACTGTGCCGATCTAAAGCCAGGAGTCAGGAGCTTCTTCCGGGTCTCCCACACGGGTGCAGGGGCCCAAGGACTTGGGCCATCTTCTACTGCTTTCCAAGGCCATAGCAGAGAGCTGGATTGGAAGAGGAGCAGCCGGGACTAAAACCATTGCATATGGGATGCCCGCGCTTCAGGCCAGGGCATTAACCCACCGTGCCACAGTGCTGGCCCCTCTTTTTTGTTTTTCCTTCCCCCATTTCTTTACTTGTCCAGCCCTTCAAGGCTGACAGCTTTCACATCCAGTACGGGGTACCAAATGGCCCACCTATTACCTTAAAATCTTATCTTAGAATTTGTCAAAGGATTAAAATGAAATAGAATACATAATAAAATTGGTTGGGGAAACATTTGGCAAAGGGCTCTAGACCCATTATTATTAGGGAGGGTTAGGTCTTTGCTATAAAGCACCAAAGAATAGTTAGTTAATGCCTAGAGGTTACAAGGCATCTGATTTTGGCTTAATGAATGTTTCTGTAACAATGCCAAATGCAATGAGATAATGAGCTTGTACGTTCAGCAGACAATAAGGGCTGTTCCTCTAGGGACGTGATGAGGTGACTCCTATGCCAAGCAGGAAGTAGCTGGGTCTCTGCTCTTCGACCTACAACTACTTGCACAGGATGGAAAAGTGCACTTTGTACATTAAAAACCAGGTCAGGGCAGGCATTGTGGTACGGCAAGTCAAGCTACCACCTGGCACGCCTGTATCCTGTTATCAGAGTGACTGGTTTAAGTACTGGCTACTTCACTTAAAAAAAAAAAAAAAAAAAAAAAAGGTAAGATGTACTTTATTTCTTTAAAAGGAGTTAAGAGACTATTGGGGGGGGGGGTAGGCAGAGAGGGAGAGAGAATGAGAATGTTGCATCCACTGGTTCACTCCCCAGATAGCCACAACGGCTGGGCCAGGCTGAAGCCCGGAGCCTACAACTTACTCCAGGTCTCCCACATGGGAGGCAAGGCCTCAAGTACTTGAGTAATCGCTACTTCCCAGGATGCACGTTAGCAGTAAGCTGGAATGGAAGTGCAGCTGGGACTTGAACCCAGGGGCTCTAATATGACACAGGCATCTTAACTGTGGTGCCAAATGCCTGCCTCACAGCCCTGTTCTACTTTTTCACCAGCAGCCTCACTGCCTTTATAAAAATGGGGACCAGTGTTGTGGTACAGTGGGTTAAGCCTTTGCCCATAATGCCAGTATCCCATTTGAGCTCTGGTTCAAGTTCTGGCTGCTCTACTTCTGATCCAGCTCCCTGCTAATGTGCCTGGGAAAGCAGTGGGAACATGGTCCCAAGCAGTTGGGCCGCTGCCACCCACATAGGAGACATAGATGGAATTCCAGACTCTTGGTTTTGACCTAGCCCAGCCTTGGCCATTGCAGCCATCTGGGGAGTGAACCAACAGATGAAAGCTCGCTCTCTCTGTGTAACTCATTCAAATAAAAAACGTCTTAACAAAATGACCATGTAATTTGGTTTGGCCAACACCTCATGGTGAGTTTTGCTTTGCAAACACTACAGAAGACAAAGCTTTACACATTACCTCCGGTCTTCACTGTCCAGGTCCAGAGACGTCACGAGTCCTCAACTCCCCAGCCTATCCTCCCTTTACCAAATGTGTCTAACTTTGGAGGCTGCATCACGGCCCCTGGTCCATTTCTTGAGACCTCATTTTTTCTTCATGCACTCATCCCACTGATGATCTCACCCAGCCCCAAACTCTTGACATGCTGTCCAAACAGTGGTGCCCAGATTTCCATCTCCAGCTTAGACACCCTCCTGACCTCCAGATGCCCGTGTGTTGCGATGCCTCCCCAGCAGCTCACCTGCGAGTTGAGCAGACATCTAAGTGTCATCATAAAGCTGAATCATCTTCCCCCAAATACTTGCTTGACCCACAGCCTTCAGAATCTCATCTGGGATTCTCATTCCCCAGGTGCATAACCTCATAGCAAGACTGGAAAGCGGAGCCTGCCCCACCATGCCAGTTACCTAAAAACCAGAGTAGCTCTTGTATTGGGATCAAAGGTAGCAAAAAATCTTTACAATGTTTTCTGAAATATATTTAAAGTTAATTCAAAAGGTCTAGGATGGAGATTTGGACATTTTAATTTGTTTTGAAGTCACATTTTGCAAGCTAAGAAACAGAATCAACCCAAGGCAACCCAGCCTCTGCTAATGTTGGCTGAGTTTGGCCAGCATTAGCAGAATGGCATCATATAAGAGGGCAGCAACAGAGTCAGCAACTCTAAAGGGTAACCATTTATCCCTAGTTTTCATGAGGAAGCAGCCAAAAGCTCTTTCTGTAAAGGCATGATATACAAACATTCTGATCTATAAAGCACAGAATGGCCCCAAATTAGGTCAGCTGACTTACTGGGGAACCAAATCGTAGCTGGTCAAAGGCTGGTAAACAGATACTAAGTGTTTACATTCTGAAAACCTGCTGTGGTCTAAAAAACTTTCTGGCTGCTGTCATTAAGAAAAAAAATATGACAGATAGACCTTTCTTGGTATTTGATTTTGCCAAGGTCTTCCACTAGAGCATGAAGATAGAGATAAGTACCAGGGATATGATATCCAGGTATTTTAAAATAAATTACATAGTAAAAGGAAATTAGGCATACTAAATTCTTCCATTTGCTACAAGAACAAATTGGATGAAGACTACTGAAAAGAAAAGCTCAACTCTGAAGAGTGGGGGCAAACATTTTCCATTAAAGCACAACCTCCCGCGTTTCCAGGTAACACTGCTCTTCCTCCATGATCCGCATTCACATGGAAAAACTTGTCAGGAGCTTCTGCCAGGGCCAGGAGATGAAAAAGACAGCATGTCCTAATTAGCTAACTGTAAACTCAGTTGGCATTTTTGGAACAGACTCATGAAACCTGGCCATCGGCTGTTAAACATCTGCAAGCTGCAGAATCCCTTCTCCCTCAGCCAGTTTCTGCTCAGCAGCTCAGAGCTGAGTGCGGTCCCACTGTAACTCCTCTTCAGGGATAGGTGGGTGCTAGTCATCAAAGTCTGGAATGTCATCGTAGGAGTAACCACGGTAGCCTTTGGATGCATAGTAGGCGATGCGCAGGTGGTAAAATCCTGGCAGGAACACCAGAATGCCAATGATCAGCACGGGAATGGCCCGGTCTGCCCCCTGGTGGCAGAAAGAAGCAAATACATCAGTACTGGATGTCCTGGGTACACTCCATGGATTAATATTTTATAATTTTCTGAAAATTTTCATTGGGTAGTACACCAGAAGAAAAGGTTTATATCTCTTTTACTCTTGATCATAAATGGAAGAAAAATGGTTAAGTGCTAAAAATTATAAGGAAGAAAAATTATGCATTCTCATCCTGAGATGTACTTTGGTTTATTCCTCCTGCTCCTTTTTTAAAGTTCATGGTTGTAAACATACCACACTTCATGTCCTGTCTCTTTCATAGCAAGCAATGGCCAGCACCATTATAAGCTCTTCACAGGTTCAGCTGTAATGGTGTGCAATATTCCAATGAAATGGATATACCACAACTTTAGTTAGCTACTTCCAGCCACGCTGCTGGGCATATTAGTTCTGCAGTTTCTGGAATACATTATGTTGCAATGCATTTTTTTCCCAATAAATATTTTATAGACCTATAATTGTAAATACTTATGGGGTACAGAGTGATAATTCAATACATGTACCACAATAAACTTCTGTGATTTTCTTGGCCTTTCAGACTTTCTCTTTTTTTAAGATTTATTTATTTGAAAGTTTTAGGGGGTGGGAGAGGTCTTCCATCCGTTGGTTCACTCCCCAAATGGCCACAATAGCCAGAGCTGAGCCGATCCGAAGCCAGGGACCAGGAGTTTTTTCCAGGTCTCCCATGTGGGTGCAGGGGTCCCAGGACTTGGGCCATCCTCCACTGCTTTTCAGGCCCATTAGCAGGGAGCTGAATTGGAAGTGGAGCAGCCGGGACTCGAACTGGCACCCACACGGGATGCCGGTGTTGCAGGCTGGGGCTTTAACCCACTATGCCACAACGCTGGCCTCAGATTATTTTCTTGGAGTGGATTCCCAAAGCACAATTTACAGGTCAAAGAAAGAGGGCTGTGTTCAGACTCTAACAGAAGGGTTCCCATTCTGGGGGTGGGATGGTGTCTAAGAGGGCAGACTGTATTCATCCCTGTATCTACGATTGTGCATAATGAGCAACTGACAGTAAATGCGTTCAAAGAATGCATTTTCCTTTATAAAACTGTCTGCCTTGTTTCCTAGGCGTTGAAAAGATATATACAATTTATTTTCCCTATTCTTTCTGATTTTTCTCCATTGATTTTTTTTAAGATGATTTATTTGAAAAGCAGAGCTGCAGAGGAAAGAGAGAGAGAGAGAGAGAGGTCTTCCATCTGCTGGTTCACTCCCCAGATGGCTGCAATGGCCAGAGCTGAGCTGATCCGAAGCCAGGAGCCAGGAGCTTCTTCCAGGTCTCCCATGTAGGTGCAGGGGCCCATGCGCTTAGACCATCTTCTACTGCTTTCCCAGGCCATAGCAGAGAGCTGGATCGGAAGTGGGGCAGCTGGGACTCAAACCGGCATCCATATGGGATGCTGGGATTTTTTTACCTGCTACACCACAGCACTGGCCCCAACTGTTTTTTTTTTTTTTTAAACATTTATTTATTTATTTTGAAAGTCAGTGTTATACAGAGAGGGAGAGACAGAGAGAGAGAGAGATCTTCCACCAACTGGTTAATTCCCCAGACAGCCCTGAGCTTCAGCGCCTCCCACGTGGGTAGCAGGGACCCAAACACTTGGACCTCTGCTGCTTTTCCCAGGCCATTAGCAGGGAGGTCAATCAGAAGTGGGGCAGCCGGGACTTGAACTGGCTCCCATATGGGACACTGGCTTCATAGGCAGCAGTGTTACCTGCTATGACATGATGCTGGCTCCTCTCCACTGTTTTTAAGTTTAGGAAGACTTCCTTATCCAAAGATTTAAATCCAATTTAAAAAATCTTTTAGTAAGGATATTTAAACAATGTAGATTAATACATTACCTAATCATTATAGTTTTGACTGCTTCATCCACAAACAGAAAAAGGAGTATTTACTTCACATGGTTATTGTAAAAACCAAATGAAGTAAGACATGGAAAGCAAGAGGTTCCAGGTGGTACAAAATGACTCAAAACATACAAGCTTACAACAGAGGGAAGAGAATTTAAACAGACTCCTTTGGGTCAAAGACAACGTGAACGAAAGATTAAGTCTGTGAGTCACAATCAACATACTTGAGGCTGGTTCAGAGAATTTTACATTTTCTGCTTCTTTATATCTTTGGCATGATTTTAACTAGCACATCCCTAATATAGTCTAAGAATTAAAAGAACTGCAGAGAAAACTAATAGTGCATTCAGCCTTCTTATATGCAGCAATACTACTGCTTTTTTTTTGTTTGTTTTTGGCTTTTTTTAAAGATTACTTATTTGAAAGTCAGAGTTACAGAGAGAAGTAGAGACAGAGAGAGACAATCTTCCATCTGCTGGTTCTCTCTCCAAATGGCTGCAACTGCCAGGGCTGGGTCAGGCCAAAGCCAGAATTTTCTTGATCTCCTAGGTGGATGCAGGGGCTCAAGTACTTAGGCCATCCTCTGCTGCTTTCCCAGGCATATTAACAGGGAGCTGGATGGGAAGTGGAGCAGCCAGGATTCGAATGAGTGCCCACATAGGATGCCTGCACCACAGACACTGGTTTAACCTACTGTGCCACAGTGCTGGCCCCTATGCTGTTATTTGGAAGCTATTGTATATGTAATGTGGAATAGGCAAGTAATTCTATGGATAGTATTAGCATTGACATATATAAAACAAAACAAAAAATATAAAATCAGGGGCAGGAATTTGGCCCAGTGGTTAAGAGGCCCATGTCCTGTACCAGAGTTTAAAACCTGCCCCCTGGTCCTGACTCTGGCTTCCTACTAACACAAACCATCTGAGGCTGGGGCGGGGGGGAGAGGGTACTGTGGGGAGCAACTCGGACTAGACTAAGTTACTGGAATTAAGACTTATTCTATGCATCTGCTCTCCCACAATATGGCGCTGGGAGAGGAGTAAACAGCTTCTATGCAGCTGCCTCCAGTTAGACCAATAACCTGCAGGAGCTGATCCTGCTCCTGATTGGAGGAGAGCAGTGTACTCGGCGTGTGGGTAGCAGAGTTGGGATTGGTGGAAGAGGACTATAAAGGAGGAGACAACATGCACCAGGAACATCTGAGCAGCCCCCGAGAGAGCCAGCCGGCGGTGTGCCGCTCCCCCGCGGAAGTGGGGAAAGTGGCAGGGGGAGCCGCCCTTCCACGGAGGTGGAAGGATCGGCAGCCCACCCGGGAAGGACCAGCAGCAAACCCGGGAAGGGCCGAGCAGACAAAAGAACAGCGCAGGGTTTAGTGTCGTTCCTCCGCGAAATGGGGGAGCGACAGGGTACCGCAAATAATTTGAGTTCAACCACACATGTAGATGTGGACTGAATTCTGTGCTCCTGGCTCTGGCCCTGCCCCAGCTCCAGCCAACATGGGCATCTGGGAGAGTGAACCACGGGGTAAGTGCTGTTTCTTTAAATAAATAAATAAATAAATAAAATTCTCAACAGTAAAATCATAAACATTTTAGGGGCTAGTATTATGGCACAGTAGGTTAAGCTGCTGCCTGCAACGTCAGCATCCCATGTTGGAGTGCCAGTTCAAGTCCTGGCTGCTCTGCTTCCAATCCAGCTCCCTGCCTTCTCGGGAAGGCAGATGATGGCCAGGGTGCTTGGGCCCCTGCCACCCACGTAGGAGACCTGGATAGAGGCCCTGACTCCTGGCTTCAGCTTGGCCCAGCCCTAGCTGTGGTGAAAATGAGGAATAAAATCAGCGGAGGGAAGCTTGCTTGGTCTCTCTGTCCTCTCTCTGATGCCCTGCCTTTCAAATAAACAAGTAAACAAACAGATACTTGAAAAAAATTTTAAAATCCCCAATCTTTAAGTTGCATTTGAAATGTTGATATGAAAGTATTTTTCCTTGTTTCCTAAAGGCCATCTATTTTCTCTCGGTGAAAACTCCTAGAAACACTAACAATCTAACAGCAATGAGCACCATTAATGCCCAGACTGTGATCTGCAAATCTGAATTCCAATGGAAAGACAGCATGGCTCCTTAGAGAAATGGCTCTCATATCAGGAGCAGGATGCATGGAGGTGGGCCTGAGATAAATTGCTGATTTAGGAAGCCTGGAAGTTATCAAAGGATGCGGGTTTTAAGACCAAGTTTGCCTACCTGCTACCACCCACTTCATAGGAACAAAGGGAGAAATTTGTTGCTCGAAGGAAGAAAAACATGTTTTGTAACCAGAGAACAAAACATAAGAAAATCTTTTTGGGGCCGGCGCCATGGCTCACTTGGTTAATCCTCTGCCTGCAGCGCCGGCATCCAATATAGGTGCCGGGTTCTAGTCCTGGTTGCTCCTCTTCCAGTCCAGCTCTCTGCTGTGGCCCAGGAAGGCAGTGGAGGATGGCCCAAGTGCTTGGGCCATGCATCCGTGTGGGAGACCAAGAAGAAGCACCTGGCTCCTGGCTTCAGATCGGCACAGCGCTGGCCGTTTGGGGAGTGAATCAACAGAAGGAAGACCTTTCTCTCTGTCTCTTTTTCTCACTGTCTATAACTCTACCTGTCAAAAAAAAAAATAATCTTTTCTTTGGCTGTACTAGATATAAATATGAAACACTAGCGCTCTGGCTGCTACTTGATGGCCCTCAGACCTCAGCCCCACCGGACTGAGCACGTACCCCTTTGCTGATGTAGCCTGACAGCAGGAGAGAGCCAATGATAATCAGAAAGGCGCCGATCAGGAACAGCACGGTGGCGAGAGCGATGGCCTTATATGGGATCTTAGGAGGGCTTTTCTTAAACTGAAAGAGAAACAAAAACAAAAAAGACAACTCTCTGAGAACAATATGGAATTATGAAGGTTAAACATTTGAAAGCAGAGAGGATAATTAAGAACCAAACTGGATGCTGCTGTTGTCGTGCAGGATGTCCTACCACTCAGGGCAGCTCTGGGAGAGAAAGGGACAGGCAGGAGACGAACCTCTAGTTGTTGCTGTAACAGCCACTCAAAGGAGTCCCGCTGGAATGTCATCCTTTCCAGTTCTAACCGCACTCCACGGACCATTTATTGTAGCACAAGAAATTTTTTTTATGCAAAAGCAAAAACTACTTTATGGTCATTTGTTCACCAGATATATTTATTAAGTGCCTGGTACATGGATCGTGTACCATTAAATGGACATTTAAGAATGAACACTGTGCTACGGAGAAGAAAATTCATGATTTCCGGAGTTCAAAATTAAGTTAGCACACAAAGATTTCAAAAATGGGCAAGGAACCTGCCTTATGAACAAGCTTAATTCAAGGTTAAGATTCAGAGACAAACTTCCTGAGGTTTGGCTCATGGTTCCATCTGACCTAACTGGCTGGAAGCTATTCAGATCTATTTTTTCCTCTCCTTCAAGTGCAGGTCCACACAGTACAAAGAATAATTTATTTATACTTAAAAGGATATGTTCCTGTGACTTCCTTTTTAGTCCTAGTTCTACCTACAATATTCTGTCCTAAGAAGAAGTGGGCAGCCGGCGCCGCGGCTCACTAGGCTAATCCTCCGCCTAGCGGCGCCGGCACACCGGGTTCTAGTCCCGGTCGGGGCGCCGGATTCTGTCCCGGTTGCCCCTCTTCCAGGCCAGCCCTCTGCTGTGGCCAGGGAGTGCAGTGGAGGATGGCCCAGGTGCTTGGGCCCTGCACCCCATGGGAGACCAGGAAAAGCACCTGGCTCCTGGCTCCTGCCATCGGATCAGCGCGGTGCGCCGGCTGCAGCGGCGGCCATTGGAGGGTGAACCAACGGCAAAGGAAGACCTTTCTCTCTGTCTCTCTCTCTCACTGTCCACTCTGCCTGTCAAAAAAAAAAAAAAAAAAAAAAAAAAAGAAGTGGGCAAAAAGAGATGCTATTTATTTTATAAATAATGCTCATGGAAGGATACAAACTTACAAATATGCATTGTTGTACTTACTGTTTGTCACAAAGAATACCTTTAATAAATTGGATCGCATGACATCAGGAAAGAAGGAAGATCCCCACAATCTGCTGGCTTTAGCAGTTAGTTTCTCCCTTAAAAGATGAACTGACTTTGACTAAAGTGTAAATAGACACGATCTTTTAAAAAAAATCCACTTAATAAAACATAAGCTGCTTATTTTTTGATAAATTAAATAAAATTAGCAACTATAGGGCTCTGGAATTACAACTATAAATTGTTAGAAATGGATAATAACAGAATCGGTTTCAAAGTGCCCTTCTGTGAGCTGTGGCTGCAAGATCTCAGAGCTGAGCTGCTTCTGCGGCTCCCTCTATAGTCCTGGGAGTTAGCAAAACCTCCACATGGAAGGTCTTCCTGGTAACTCAAAAGAAACAGGCAGCCAGCTCTGTCAGCCCCCTTTCTGCATTTACCTGAAGGTCAATGTAGCCATCGTCGGTGCTGGAGAGCCTTGAGTATTTCACTTTACTACTGGGGATTCCAGCAGCCAGGTTGGTGCGAGATGGCATCATAACACACTGACACAGCTACGCTCTGCAAACAAACAAAAAGCGCTGTTGTCTGTGAAATGCATGCTGGGGCACTGTGGCCAGTGCGTCCTGGGCTACTCTGCCACAGCGGCAATTCAGGTTTTACTGCTCTTCCAGTCTGACACCCCTCAGATCCCCTAAGTCATTCTCATTACATATCTACTCTGGGCGAGAAATTCACCAAGAGTCAGGCCACCGCTTGTCTTGCTGCCAGCGTTCTCTGCCTCCTCATTTTTCTAAAGTCAGATAGACAGCAGGTAGAAGAGGTGTCTTGAATCTGGGTGGACCTCACATCCAAGTCCACACTTTCAACCACCCTGCTACAGCCTGACCCATGCCGAGCTGCTTAGGAGAATCGATTTTCCTGTGATTGGCAGGGAGGCAGGAAAGGGTGGGGATAAAATAAATGCTCACACCAGCATGTTGCCGATTCCTCCTGGACGTAGCTTTGCTGCCAATCTGGACAAGCTCCTGGCTATCAGTACTATTCCAGTGCCTTCAGATTTGACTCTCTGCCCCCACCTTGCACACTGAACGACTTATTTTTCAAATTATGTTTGTAGCTACCAAAAAAAGTTTTATTGTTCAAGATATTTAAAGCAGATAGTTATGAAATCATGGGTATTTTGTCACCAGTTTGAGAAACGGGATATGATTTTAAAACACTGATTTTATTTTTATAAATTTATAATGTGTACTCTTTACCTCCATAAAGTGATAAACTTATATGAACAATGTAATTAAACCTATTTTGACCTCAAAGCTACTTTTATTCTGAAAGTAAAAATGTATCCTTAAAGAGAGAAAATTAAGTATTTCAATAAAGGTGACATAAAAAAACAAACAAACAAACATAAAGACTGCCCTTTCTCTGGTGTGTGAAGTACCACCATCATCACAGTAACGGCAATACTTACTCAGTCTTGGTTAGGTGCCAGGCACTGTTTTACACATACTTAATTCTGAAAATTAGCAGGCTGCTTTAAATGGCTTATAGGACAATGTAAAATAACTAGCATTGTGGGAAAAAAAAAAAAATTTGTGCTACGTGTTCATGTCTCTCTTTATCAATGACATCCTGGTCCAGAAACCAAGTATTGAGAAAATCAGAGTAATACTAACCTATATGCTTTTCTGGGAGGGTCAGATCTAACTGCATCCGTTTTTAGTGTTTTCTTCCTAGTTACATGATAGTCTACGCTCAGTTTTACAAGACTGAGTTCAAACGACTGGAGTGTGGGGGCATATCTGATTGGAGTGTCTTTAACTACTCGTACACCCATAACAAAGTACTTCAACAGCTCGCACAGCGCAGGGGGAGGGGAGCACGGATTCGGAAACAGCAGCACAGCACTGTGAAACTCTCTGTCCGGGTTTCGGCAGCCTCGTCGCCGGCCCCGCCGCAGCCCCGCCGCCCTCCGCACCCGGCCGCTCTCACAATCACCGAGGTATCACTAAAGCGACCCGCACAACGCGCTCCTACAGTCGCTACTTTCCTGCTCGTCTCCAGACCTTACCAGGGAGAGAAACAAGAACGGAGGCGAATTTGGACGTAAAACAAACAAAACCGGATTCTGGGAAGAGGCCAGGCAGGCCCGGGCGGGGAGCACGCCCCACGCCGGGGGCTCGGGGCTTGATTTCGGCCTGGAGCGCAGGCTTGGCCACGCCGACGGAAGGGCGCTTCCGTTCCCACCTCGCCGCACGCACGCCTTACCGGAGCGCCGCGCCGGGCCGCCCGCGCGCCGGGAGCTCGCCCACGCTCGGCAGCCGAGGCGCCCCAGGCCGCATGGCACTGCCCACCTAACGGCCTCCCCGCCCGCTCCGCCAGAGCGCCCGCGCCCCGCCGGAAGTGGGCGCGCCGGAGGTGGCGTCACCAGGAGCGACGTCTCACGCCGCTTCCTGAGCGCTCCCGAGCTCGCTTGGCGCCTCCCATGGGGTTTCGGGAGGCGGCGCAACCAGAACCAGTAGTCGTCCACGCACGCAGGGACAGACGGGTGGATACCGGGAGGGCCCCGGCCCACCTGGGTCATAGTCGGATGCAGGTCGAGCGCAGTGCGCGGGTCCTTCCCTGGCCCGCCTGGACCCGATGGCGTCCCCGGCAGCCGGAAGTCCAGCCTGTCGCGCCCTCTGGATGGACAGTCTCCACCCACTGCCCAGGGCCCTGTCCTTCCAGCCGGACGCGCCGACCAGGGCGGTGTCCGCCCCACTGCTGGTTACAGACGCACGTCTTGTAAGTCAGCCTCTCCTGGCCATCACGGGCCTTGCCCAGGAGGTCGGTCCATAGGGATGCTGAGCAGCATGAGCCGAGTAGCTTTTTAGAAAGATTAAAGTGTGATTTACACACAGTAAGGAACATTCCTGACGATGTAGTTCTGTCCCCGTCACCGGCCTAGATAAAAATATTCTCATCACCCAGGGGTCCCTGTGTAGTCAAGCCTGCCCACCCACAGGCACACAGTAGGTAATGGACACTAACTACAGAGTGGAGTTCTAAGTAAACTGGGACTCACTACGACTAAGTAAGCCACTTAACCCACCAAAGTGGACTGTGGAAAGGACTGTAATGAGAAAGTCACGGCCGGCACCGCGGCTCACTAGGCTAATCCTCCGCCTTGCGGCGCCGGCACACCGGGTTCTAGCCCCGGTCGGGGCGCCGGATTCTGTCCCGGTTGCCCCTCTTCCAGGCCAGCTCTCTGCTGTGGCCAGAGAGTGCAGTGGAGGATGGCCCAAGTGCTTGGGCCCTGCACCCCATGGGAGACCAGGATAAGCACCTGGCTCCTGCTATCGGATCAGCGCGGCGCACTGGCCTCGGAAGCCATTGGAGGGTGAACCAACGGCAAATGAAGACCTTTCTCACTGTCCACTGTCAAGAAAGTCACCCTCTGTATGGGGTATGTCAGTGAACTCACAGCACTGGGCAAATTTGACAGCTGTCCACAACCACAGGCCTTTTCACTTCTCTGGGTTGAGTCCCACACCCATGAACTGAAGCCATCTCCAGCCCTTAAGTCCCTAACAAGGCTACTCCTAGCAGAAGTTTGCGGACACCTGGGGCTCACAGACCAAAGCTTCCAGGACACCTGTAGTTTGAGAATTTAGTAGGGGCAGGTGTTGTGGACCAGTGGATTAAGCTACCATCTGAGACACCAGCATCTCAAGAGTGGGGGTTCAAGTCCCAGCTGCTCCACTTCCGATCCGGCTCCCTGGTAATGTGCCGGGGAAAGTAGAAGATGGGCCAAGTATTTGGGTCCCTGCCACCTATGAGGAAGTCATGGATGGACTTTCAGGCTGCTGGCTTCAGCATTTTAGGGAGTAAACTAGCATATGGGAGATCTAACTCCAATCTTTAAAAAAGGGTCTAATTTTAAAATATTAGGACACTTGCAAATGGTAGTTTCCAATAAAGGCACTGCTGTGTGGCATTTGAAATTCAGATAACTTTATTTAAATTGAAAATTATTAAAATTGCATTTAAAGAACGTTGTTATAAAAATCACGAGTATTTAAGTAAGGCAGAGTATTCCTAGGTTAACAAGACCAGATTTAACTTTGGACTTTATTCTTTAAACAAATTGTAGACAATGGAGGGAAACAGGTTATTTACAGAAAACAGTATCTACATATGTACTCAGAAAGGTACAAATTTGGTGAAAGACTTCAGTACACACTGGCATCTCCGAAGTAGTTCTTAGAGCTTCGTTTTACTTCCTTGGATTTAATGCCTAAGATCCTTCTTCATCCTCGATCTTGGGGGCCAAATAATACTTTAAATGTCCCATGTCGGCAATTTTATACTCAACAACTGAAAGAAGACAGGAAGAGTTAATTACATGCAGTACTACATGTTACCCACAAATCAAGGTTCAAATGTGTTATCTTACCAAGAGGTACATCTGCAGACATACTGAGCGTTACTGTAGGAGAAAGCGGAGTGGCTTTTGTAAAGAAGTTTAGGTACCTCAGTGCAAAAGTTAGTTGCACTGGCTCATTCATCTCTATGGTAACCTGTTAGAGAAAGATGAATCATTAAACAAGCTGCAATCTTAGTTTATAATATACATTTTAATTTGTATTGATCACTTCGGAAGGCGCTATGAAACAGTCTGGTAAGTTAAATCAAAAGAATGTAGTATTTAGCCATCTTTCCTATATGAACTGTATTTTAGTTGACCATTTCATAGGATATGGGAAAGATTCTCTTTAAAAAAAGTTTTTAATGAGTTTTTCAACTCTGCAAACCCTACCTAGGAAAGTGACTACTGGCGACTGTCAACATCACAAAATGATGTCCAGACACCTTGTGCCGCCACTAGGACCACCACTTATGAAGTACTCATGTTCTCCTATCCCGAAACAAGTAAGACCAAACCCCGAATAGCATCAAGCCTCTACAGCTGTAGTTACCAGTATAGAGCAAACACTAAAATGTTTAGGTTGAACACATATGGAAGCAATCTGCAAGATCCAGAACTGGAAAGTTCTGCGACCAGTTTCTTCAACAGAAAAGGGAACCAGGAGGTTGAAAGAAATTTAAGGGGTATAACAGCCAATTTCAATGTATGAACTCTACTGAAATGTCTTAAAATTAATTTTGAAAACACTGGCAGAAGTTTGGAATATAATTCAAGACAGATGTTTTAGATATTTAGGTTTTACACCTTCATTTAAACTAAGGAAGGACTATGCAGGCAAGGGACAGGAAAATACCTAACATTTACTGTAACCTTAAAATGCCAGACATTGTGCTAAGCACTTAGAATATGGCAAAAATTAAAATAATCCCAGGAAGATCTTTAATTGTTGATTTACAAAGAGTTTTAACTGATGCTCAGGCTAGCAAATAGTTTAATTTTAGTTGACCATATTAGCTCAAACATTTAAAAAATGCTTAAAAACATGATTGTCTACTTCTCTACCTTTAAAATGGGTTAAAATAGCAGCTACAACACATGTAACCATTATATATTAGCTTTATAAGAGCTCATACTAGCTAGACTTTTACCCCAACCACTGAACTGTCCTGTGTACATTTGGCATAAACAGAGTGAACATCTCCAGAAACCTAGGGGACAGATGCCTACTTTCCAAATCTTTTGGGAATTCCTATTTTAAACCCACAAAGCCACAGTTCAGTGCATTCCGTTTTCAGATGATTCTACACTGGATGGCACTTAGACATGGGCAGTTTACAAAGTATGCAGGAAATGGAATTAAAAGATAAGTTTTGGTGCAGTTTTTAATCCATGTAGTTTTCATAATACACATTTTCCATAAAATTTTGAAGATCCCTTAATGGGATCACTTGCAGATTTCAAATAGTAGCAATATTTTCAATTTTCACAAGTAACCTGGAATGCATTTTTATTTTTACCTTTCATAATTAACCTAATTTGTTGGACATTACAATTCTCCAAAATATTTGAGAAATGCTAAATCTAACTTTACTACTTACAGCTTCCTCTTCTTTATCAACATTGCTCGTTTGTGACAACTTAATGTTTCCATTTCCCAGTTCTCCACTGGCGGAAAACTTCACCCCATCTTTTGCACAGGATATTACAACGGCATCTCCAATATGGCTGAGGTCTCGGCATATACGTGCAAATTCACCAGAAGGCATTTTTACTACACAGCTGTACTCTTGTTCCTATAAAACAAACTTAACATTAACTGCTGGAAATCTGACATCCTCACTCTTAAGCAAACGTCTAAACTCAGATCTCAGGTTTTTCTGATTTCTTTAAAACATTACTAGAGACCAGTATTGTGGCACAGCAGGTTAAACTCATTTGCAGACACAGGCAGCCCACACTGTAATGCCAGTTCAAATACAAGCTGCCCTGCTTCTGATGCAGCTTCCTGCTAATAATGTACCTGGGAAAGCAGCAAACGATGACCCAAGTGTTTGGGCCTCTTTTACCCTTGTGGGAGACCTAGAGGGAATGCCAGGTTCCTGGTTTTGGCCTGGGCCAGGCCTAGGTATTGCAGCCATTTAGGGAGTGAACTAGTGAATGGAAGATCTCTTTTCATCTGTTTGCCACTTTGCTTCTCAAATCTTTAATTAAAAACTGGTTAGTATATGACTCACACTCCAACTAAAAGTAGTATGGCATAATAATCATACAAGAACCTCTTAATGATCCTCCAGAGCCAAATCAAGAGGATATTAGGGTTTCGAACAGTAGTGATGGGGCAGACTTAAAAGTGAAAACACATTATGCATTTTACATTTTAAACATTCCCAACAGCTGTTCTCATTTAATGGTGATAAGCCCACCCTTAATTAAAAAAAAGACGCACAGAGGCTAATGCAAGTAAGCACTCCACAGCAAAAAATGAATTCACCCCACAGTCAGTTTTAGGCTGCTACAGTTTAGTAAAATGACAACTGTCATACAAATATACAAATCTTGCTTTGAAAAAAAAAAAAGAAAATCTAGATATATAGGCAGTAGGCATTAGGTTATATTAACACATCTTAAGTAACTGATGACTATGTGCAATCAGAAGCTGATACTCACTGGAATTCCAAGCTGTTCAACATCTAAGTCCATTAATTTCATTTCATAGTCTGAAACTTTCTCTTGATCTACGAAAAGAAAGCAAATGTTAAGAAAAATGTTTTATAATCATGATGTAAATTTTTACGACCATCACAAAAAATTTAAAATTCTCACAGCTGAGAATCAAGAGAGATTTTAGTTCCCTATAGCATAACTCAGTACAAGGTTATGACTTACTTGGTGCTTCAAATACTAGCGCCAAGGTGTCCGCATTATCTTCAGCCCTCAGTGTAATGATGTCTTCGTTGCCGGCACATTTTAGTATTTTGGACATGCTACAACACACAAGATACGGTTTGCAATCAACA